TCTTTAAGGTTTTGTTTGTTTTTGAAGCGTTGACAAATTCCTCAAATAGCTCTTGAAAGGCTTCATGCATTTCTTCTAAAGAATAAGATTCGGTGGAATAGTTACGTACCTCTTTTTCGCTGGAGGATTCTTCCTCTTCTTGAGCCATGAGACAAAGATTTGCTTCTTCGTCTTCCTCCTCCTCCTCGCTTGATTCTTCGCCCGAGTCGCCTCCCCAAGAGATGTAGGCTCTTTGTTTCTTAAATCCATGTTTGCCCTTGGAGCCTTTGGCGTTTGGACACTTCGGTTTGATGTGCCCGACCTCCCCACAACCATAGCACTTGGGAGGGCCATCATACTTCTTCCCCTTACGGTCAAATTCCTTTCTCATGAATTTGTGGAATTTCTTGATGACGAGTCCGAACTCGCTATTGTCATCAAGTGATTCCTCTTCAACCGTTTCCTTGGTTGCTTTTAGAGCAATCCCCTTTTTCTTTTGATCACTTAAAGAAGGGGTTAGAATAGTTGACTCATAAGTTTTAAGATTACCTCTTAACCCGTCAATGGTTACGTTTGAGATTCCAATGGATTCGTAGATCACATCCGCCTTGGATCTCCATTCGGGAGTGAGGCTACGCAGGATTTTTCGTACTAAATCCTTGTTGGTGTATGTCTTCTTGAGAGCATGAAGATCATTGATGATCTTGGAGAAGCGTTCAAACATCTCATCGATCTTCTCGCCCTCTTTCATCCTGAAAAGCTCGTATTCCTGCTTAAGAAAATCGATTTTAGCTTCACGTACCTGATCTGTACCTTCGTACGTGACTTCAAGCTTATCCCACATCTCTTTTGCGGTTGTGCAACAAGAGATCTTGCGGTAGTCGTCGGGATTCACTGCGCAATAAAGCATATTGATTGCTTTGGCGTAGTTCTCAATCTTCTTGATGTCCTCGGCATCAAATTCATCTTCGCTTTTGGGAACAAGTGTTTCTCCCACTTTCTTCATAGGCGTTTCTTCGCCATTTTTGATGACCAACCATAATTGGAAGTTGGTAGAGCGAATATAGATTCTCATCCGCTCTTTCCAATACGTGTAGTTGGTGCCATCAAACAATGGTGGCCTAGAAGTGGATTGGCCTTCTCCGATTCCTGCATACAAATTTCTGGAAGTAGAACCCATGATCGCTTTTACTCTCAAACGGTTAAGTTTGGACGCGAGTTAGGCTCTGATACCAATTGTTAGAATAAAGGACCAACGCTAGAGGGGGGGTGAATAGCGTTTGATCAATAAAATCGCAGGAATTAAAATTTTAAAGGAATATAAAGCGGAAATAAAAGAGAGAAGAAGGCACACCAAGATTTATACTGGTTCACCACAACGTGTGGCTAATCCAGTCTCCCGAGAGACTCTCTCGAGCTACGCTAC